CCATATGCCAACTTCATCCCGATTTTCCATTTCATCAGTGAATTTTAAGAAAAACGAGGTATGTTTACGAGCATTCATGCTACAAGTGCATAATACCCGAAGTTCCCAGACGATTTCCTTACCCCGCTTTTCCATTTTTTTTAAACAAATGCTAGAAAAAACGAGGTAAAATCTAATAATTCATTATCCAAATGAGATCGATAGATCCCAAGTTGCCATATGCAGTCTTCAACCTGATTTTTTTTTGTTTTTTTTCAATGAATTCGAGAGAAACGAGATTAATTATGCGAATTCATCCGCAAGTGGCTATCACGCTAAGTTTCCATATGCCATCTTTACCCTGATTTCCCATTTGAGTTAGCGAATTCGAGAAAAACGGGGTAAATTCTGAGCCTTCCGATGTTACAAGTGAATAACACCCGAAGTTACCGTATGCTATCCTTATCCCAAGTGTCCATTTTTTTTCCCAGTGAATTTGACGACAAATGGGGTAACATCTCAGTGTTCATCCTCCGAATTAAATAGATCCCAAGTTGCCATAGCCAATCTTTCACCCGATTTTCAATTTTTTTTGTCAATGAATTCTAGAAAAACGGGATGAATTTTGAGAATTCGGCCCAAAAGTGGCTAATACCCTATGTTCCCATATGCCAACTTCACTCCGATTTTCCATTTCATCAGTGAATTTTAACAAAAACGAGGCAAATTTTGAGCATTCATGCTACAAGTGAATAATAACCGAAGTTCCCATACGATTTCCTTACCCCGATTTTCCATTTTTTAAAACAAATTCTAGAAAAACGGCCGGGTTACATCTAATAATTCATTCTCCAAATGAAATAGATCCCAAGTCGCCAGTCTTCAAGCCGACTTTCCATGTTTTTCAATTAATTCTAGAGAAACGGGATTAATTCTGCCATTTGATCAGCGAATTCGAGAAAAACGAGGTAAATTCTGAGCCTTCATGTTACAAGTTAATAACACCCGAAGTTCCCCTAAGCTATCTTTTCCCCAAATTTTAATTGTTTTTCAGTGAATTTGACGAAAAACGAGGTAAAATCTGAGAGTTCATCCGAGTTAAATAGATCCCAAGTTGCCATAGCCAATCTTCAACCCGATTTTCAATTTTTTGTAATTTAATTCTAGAAAAACGGGATAAATTGTAAGAATTATTCCGCAAGTGGCTTGCACGCTGAGTTCCCATGTGTCATCTTTACCCAGTTTTTCCATTTGATCAGCGAATTCTAGAAAAACGGGGTAAATTCAGTGAATAAAGGGGGTAAGTTACTACAGAAACTGTGGTGTTGCGTCGGTGGGGGTAACAAGGTAATTTGGAAATACCAACTAAGTTGAAATTGTAAATTGGCCACCGTAAAGAGTTAAAAAGCTGACGTTTCGAGTGTTAGCCCTTCGTCATCCGCTCTGATGCTAGAAACGTCCGCTTTTCAACTCTTTACGGTGGCCAATTTACAATTTAAACTTTAGTTGATATTACCAGATTAAATTCAGTGAAACTCATCCTTTAAGCGGAATAAATCGTACTGACTTGCCATAGCCATCTTTACCACGATTTGATGATTGTGTGAATTTGCCATAAACGGGGTAAATTATGAAAAACCACCCAAAAGTGCAACAAATCCAACAGTGATTTAAAAAAAGGACAGCTAAAATCAGCGGAACCGTAATCAAATCACATCACAACCTACGACTTTAAATTTTTACGAAGGGTTCAGTGCGATACAGCAAAAACCTACAATATTCAAAATAAACAAATGAAGGCCAAACTTCTGTGATTGAAAGAAGACTTCGTGACGCAGACAAATATGAACTTAAGAACAATTATCACAACTTTTAACACCTCAGTCGATCTCACCTCTGGCAGATCAGCGAAGCGTCAAAAGTATATAATTTAATGCCGACGAATCTATGACAGAAAATAAAACAATTGTGATATGACGCCACATTGTGCTTTTGTCTTAGCTTGTGAGTAAAATGTTGTCATTGGAGTCGCAAGTCGACCAATGAAGACTGTAAATAAAGCAAAACTGCAAATAAAGCGTGAACGATAACGCATCCTTTCGTCGAAAGTCGCTTTGTTATTTACGTAGCAAGTTGCTCTTCCACGTTTAGGTTAGAAGAACGATGCAATCACACGGCGTTAACGAAGGAATGACAGAACTTCAAGGAAAGTAATGTGAGAGGCCAATGATCCGGTTCGCAATGGTTGCGAACAGAATGTTTTCCTGAGATCAGTTCCAAGTTGGTCAATCGTGTCAAATTTTCTACTTATCCCGACCCCCTTGAATGAATAATTTTGGTTGAAGACATAACTACAACGGAGTCTCTTCACCAGTCCCAAGCCGCGTGTCGCTAAATAGATCGCAATATATGATTGGCCACCGTATTACATTACGTCAGAGGACATATCCACAACAAGAGGACATAACTGCAACGGTACAATCGTATTGCACGCACCAGACGGATGTCAAATGGTCAATCTTGATTTCTTCAGTTGAAATACGTGTTCACAATTCATAGCTGTCATAACTGGAGAGGCTCATTCGGTGCCGGCATTTATGAGTAAGTTTAACACTAAAGTCGAAATTTAATGTTATAATTTTACCAGAAGAAACGTATTCCATTTTTAATTTGTCTCAAAGGCGCCTGACGTATACTAAAATCAAACCTATGAAAGGTGACTTTAGGGCTGCATTGATCGCACTAAACTCGTGGAAAATAAAATAAAGGATATACTTGACCGCGCTTGGATACAAATTTTGTCTTGGAGTGTTGATATTATCTCCTGCGTGTTGGCGAAACGAATGGCTATAAGATTTAATAACCACGACACGCGATAAAGATATACCCTCTAATCATTGAGATATCTGTCATAAAAATAAATATCGTATGGACACGCGGTACACGAGCGGAATACGGGGAGGAGCTCTTGTCAAGGGTCACGTGGGATGCCTGTGGCAGCCCGAGTGACATACCACGTTTTGGATTGCTCGGTGTGTCGTTCTCAAGTTAAAAGGAAAAAAGATGGACTTCTGTTCCATTATAACACGTTTCATTGTTTGCTTTTAAAATGTTTTAAGTTCTCGACTGGACTCGTTTAAAAAATAGGCCAAAAGTAATTGGTCGTTTCCGAATTACTCATGGCCTCCTTTTCAAAACGAGGCCTGGTGCTCAACCATTAGTATCAAAGACAGTTAAATTCGCTTTTTAGCGAAAACCTACAATTATATCAAATGATAAGCAACAGCCCTCGCTTTGAAAAAGAAGTTATATGTAATTCGGAAATCGGAAATTAACAATTATCAGGGGAAGAGTAGCAACTCAATAAGCTTGCCTGATTTCCGCCTTATAGCCACCGCGTAAAAAAAATCAAAAGACGTGGACCACAACTGAAGGTTAAGTTAGGTATTTGGCGCTGGACACAGTTTTTTTTCCCGTTGTGTTTGATGGAAAATGTGAATTTCCAATAGATTGATTAACACCAAAATGAACTCGAAGCAATTGCTCTTTCCTTNTTGTATGACTGCTAACGTTTAACCCGTCGTCATGTAAATCAAGATCAAAATTGAAAAGATGTTCCAAAACCTTGCCTGGCTGGATGGCCTGTGTATGATAGGAGGGGCTTTTCACCTTACTTTTTTCCCTCTACCGAGTCTTGCAACTTCATAAGGCCAGCTATTCTCCATTTGATAAACGAACCTTTCGCTTCCTTGTGTTTCTCTGGTCTCGCGTTGTATCAAACACCCAAAATCGGATTCAACTCACTTTCTAACTCAACAGCAAAAAAAGTCCCTCGGGTCATGCCATTTTTTTTTTGCATTGATTAATTTAATAGAAAGCAAACTTGCATTTGTGCTTGATCTTTTTGTTACGGTTAAATTTTGAATTTCTTCTTCTCCGCAAAAAAGGATAGATTGACGATTTAAAATACTTTTTTCCATCCCTTTTTCTTGCGGCAGTCAATGGAAAGTAGGGAAACAGGTACTGTGATCAGAAGTTCATCGGCTTTTGCTTTTTGGCCAGGTGTGACTTGAGAACGGAAACCATGGCTGCTTCGTGCAAAATCTCGCAGACGAGCTCTAAAGATCTCTTTTTCTTTCATTGTGATGTCATGTTACTGTGATCGTACCGAATGAAACTGCGCGCGCTAATGAACGTTGCCCGAGTATACACACCATAAAGAGGGGCGCGGTCGGTTAGGGGGATGTTCAGGCGTGTAAGGGGGGGTCCCACGGTGCCTGTAGACCCCTCCTCCCACCTTTGTGTCTATTCCTGCTTCACTATCGAAGTCCTCGACTTCATATTCCCGCTAGAGCGAGGTTTAGCTCTAAGCGGTGGACTGAAGGCATTCTGTCTTCCCCTCCAACCATAAGTGTTAGCATTTGAAGTTGTTAAGACACAGTTTATTTTCTTTATTCTGAGCTGAAAAGTGTTATTTTAACAAATGACCATTTAGACCCCACATTTTTCTTTTGGGCTCATTCTGACCTTTACGTAACAGATCATGGCAATGGAAAGGCTGTTGCCAAGTGTATGCATAACCAATAAGAAAGCAAAGTTTGGTAAAAAATTATCTTTTTTAATACTGTCAAATTTGTGCCATACATGGGTAAAAAAAAATTACCAAATTCACAATTTTGTACAATGTGTGAAAGCACTTAGGGTCAAATATTTTCGTATTGTGTTATCATTGTGACGAAATACTTTAAAAACAGCTTAAGTAATTACGACATAACCGTGTACCTTTTTTTTTGAATGAGATTCTGGAAAGGAGTGTAATGTAGGAGGTGTTACGGTGTAGAGTTAGTAGTGAAAATGTGTTTTTTTACGCCACATAATATTATAACGTAAGAATTATTAGAGTAAGTAGCGTCGATTGTCAATGTATAGTACCGTAATCAGTAACATTACAAGTAATGTAACGTAACTACTTGTTGGTAACGCAACGTACTAGGTGGTGTAACTGACGTCTCGTAACTAAAACAATTGTAAGGTATCGTAATTAGTAGCAATACTCTAAGTATTGTATCTTACATTGCATTGTATTGTTAGCTATCTAAATATTGGTTTCGTCATTGGAATTCAAAAAATTAAGCTAAAAATGAACTTCATTGCATTGCATTGTATTGTATTGTTAGCTTTCTAAATATCGGTTTCGTCATTGGAATTTAAAACATTAAACTAAAAATGAAGTTCATAAAACCCCTATCACATAAAAAATGAAGTCCAATTAACCATCTCCATATCCCCGATCTTCAAGCCCAGTGGGTTGCCATTCGTACGTGTCAGTCCCGTGACTTCGTGCATCGGAAGAACAACACATTTTCTAACTGCATTGTGGGAAATTCTACACCGATGGCGAGAATGAAAGCTGCTGCATACGACATGACTACCACGGCAGCATAATAAAATGCCTGAAAATAGAAAAAATGTAATAAGCTCGAGAACAAGATGAGCGGAGGGAGACGTAGTGATCTAATGGTCAGTGCACTGGACTCCGGGTTCAGAAGCAGATTTTCCCACCAATAACGTAGCTCCATTTTCTGCTTTTAAAAGCACACACAACCCACAATTCCCCTATTCGCTCCGACGAAGGGCTAACGCTCGAAACGTCAGCTTTTGTTATCGTTACGGTGGCCAATTTACCATTTCAACTTTGTTGATATATCCAAATTATTTCGTTACCCCCACCGACGCAGCCCTAAAGAGTTTCTTTAGAAACTATCAGCCTTTATTCTCTGTCTTTGCGATAGTCCAACATCAGCGGTGATATTAATATCATCCGCACACTAAAGTAACGCGTGTGTTCACTTAACTAATTTGTATGACTGCTAACGTTTAACCCGTCGTCATGTAAATCAAGATCAAAATTGAAAAGATGTTCCAAAACCTTGCCTGGCTGGATGGCCTGTGTATGATAGGAGGGGCTTTTCGCCTTATTTTTTTCCCTCTATCGATTCTTGCAACTTCATAAGGCAAACTAGTCTCCATTTGATAAACCAATCTTTCGCTTCCTTGTGTTTCTCTGGTCTCGCGTTGTATCAAACACCCAAAATCGGATTCAACTCACTTTCTAACTCAACAGCAAAAGAAGTGCTACAGGTCATGCTATTTTTTTTTGCATTGATTAATTTAATCGAAAGCAAACTTGCATTTGTGCTTGGTCTTTTTGTTACGGTTAAATTATGAATTTCTTCTTCTCCGCAAAAAAGGATAGATTGACGATTTAAAATGCTTCTTTCCATCCTTTTTCTTGCGGCAGTCAATGGAAATTAGCGAAACAGATACTGTGATTAGAAGTTCATCGGCTTTTGCTTTTTGGCCAAGTGTGACTTGAGAACGGAAACCATGGCTGCTTCGTGCAAAATCTCTCAGACGAGCTCTAAAGATTTCTTTTTCTTTCATTGTGATATCATGTTACTGTGATCGTACCGAATGAAACTGCGCGCGCTAACGAACGTTGCCCGTGTTTACACACCATATAGTGGGGCGCAGTCGGTTAGGGGGGTTGTTCAGGCGTGTAAGCGGGGGTCCCACGGTGCCTGTAGACCCTTCCTCCCACCTTTGTGTCTATTCCTGCTTCACTGTCGAAGTCCTCGAGTTCATATTCCCGCTAGAGCGAGGTTTAGCTCTAAGCGGTGGACTGAACGCATTCTGTCTTCCTCTCCAACCAAAAGTGTTAACATTTGAAGTTGTTACAATACAGTCTTTTTATTTATTCTGAGCTGAAAAGTGTTCTTTAACAAATGACCATTTAGACCCCACATTTTTCTTTTGGGCTCATTCTGACCTTTACGTAACAGATCATGGCAATGGAAAGGCTGTTGCCAAGTGTATGCATAACCAATAAGAAGGCAAAGTTAAAAAATTATCTTTTTAATGCTGTCAAATTTGTGCCATACATGAGTAAAGCAAAATACCAAATTCACAATTTTGTACAATGTGTGAAAGCACTTAGGGTCAAATATTTTCGTATTGTCTTATCATTGTGACGAAATACTTTAAAAACAGCTTAAGTAATCACGACATAACGTGTACCTTTTTTTTCAATGAGATTCTGGAAAGGAGTGTAATGTAGGAGGTGTTACGGTGTAAAGTTAGTGGTGAAACTGTGTTTTTTTACGCCACATAATATTATAACGTAAGAATTATTAGAGTAAGTAGCGTAGATTGTCAACGTATAAGTAATGTAACGCAACTAGTTGTTGGTAACGCAATGTAATAGGTGGTGTAACTGACGTCTCTTAACTAAAAGAATTATAAGGTATCGTAAGTAATAGCAATACTCTGAGTATTGTATCTTACATTGCATTGTACTGTATTGTCAGCTATCTAAATATCGGTTTCGTCATTGGAATTTAAAAAATTAAGCTAAAAATGAAGTTCATTACATTGTATTGTATTGTTAGCTTTCTAAATATTGGTTTCGTCATTGGAATTTAAAACATTAAACTGAAAATGAAGTTCATAAAACCCCGATCACATAAAAAATGACATCCAATTAACCATCTCCATATCCCCGATCTCCAAGCCCAGTGGGTTGCCATTCGTACGTGTCAGTCCCTTGACTTCGTGCATCGGAAGAACAACACATTTTCTAACTGCATTGTGGGAAATTCTACACCGATGGCGAGAATGAAAGCTGCTGCATACGACATGACTACCACGGCAGCATAATAAAATGCCTGAAAATAGAAAAAATGTAATAAGCTCGAGAACAAGATGAGCGGAGGGAGACGTAGTGATCTAATGGTCAGTGCACTGGACTCCGGGTTCAGAAGCAGATTCTGGGCTCCTCGACCTGATAGTTTTATTGCACGATTTTCAAAACTTTTGAAATCCTCATCTTGAATGAAAACAGAACAGCCTTACGGACCCGTTAAGTTACAGGAACCTTCGAAACTA